TCACTTCAGGAACACTCTCAATATGAGGACTATTAATTATCTGTCTAGCTATTCTTATTCCTGAGCTTCACAAGCAGTCTTTGATTTATAAAAATTAGATCAGGAAGTTTTCTCTTCCTGAAAACTCTGAACAAAGTCAGACCACTGTATTTGAAGCCTTTATTTACTGGGAGAGACTGAAGTGCAATTTAGCCCATGTGGCCTTAGAGTCACTGTTTCTAAATGTTATTAAAAAATGGTAGTGGATAGTTAATAACAGCCTTCCCTCAGCACACGTTTGAGATCCTTCAACATTACTTTTGAGTGCAGCCAGTTTAAAATATCTTGGGTATGTACATATATGTTCCTAGCTCTTCAAAGCCATTTCTAATATACTACTTAAAATCAGGATTTGTTGATAAATGACTTATAAATAGACTAGATTTTTGTCAGCTAATTAGAGCAGCATAGAGTTGAAAACTGCCATAGGGTTTGATTTGAAACGTAACACAACAATGTATATATGATGGAGCAACATAAAAACACTTACAAATAAAAAAGTGGCACAGAACCTGTATGGGAGAAATAGCAAATACAAGTGTCCTGCATTTCAGTTCACTGAATGTGGAACCACCAGATCAAAACAACTCACCATACTATTAAGTATGGGTTGCCACACTATTAAGAACAGTGTAATTGCATTCCTATTAAGTATGGGTCAACATTTTTTCTGTTTCTAAGGCCCCTGGCAAAGATTATCCTTAAGACATGATTAACCAGTTAATCATGTCTTAAGTAGTAGCTCTGCCACACATTCAAGCAATTAATGGTGTGATAATATAGAGAATAAGGCACAAAATTATTACACAAAATGTGTATAATAATTTTGTAGCTGGAAGCATTGAACATATGACCAGTTCACTCCAAGGCCTGGGAATACCAGTCAGCTGATTGGCATTCCCAGGCTTGGGAGTGCACCAAAGCCCTTCAAGACTCTGGTCCAAAGTCTAGAAGGGCCAGTCAACTGATAGACTGATCAGCTGACTGGTGCTTCCAGCCAGAGGCAAGTGTCTGGCGGCCCCCACCTCTCCCCAGCTTCGCATCTGGCCACTGCCACCAGTGTACACTCCTTAAAAATGTTGAAAACCCCTGTGATAGGGTGACAGGACATGATTAGCCTCTGATCCCCAATTCCACAGTCTCACTTCCTGCCATACACATGTGGCTTGGAAAGAGGCATGATAGTTGGAATCATGAATCAGATCCCATCTCGCCTTTAACTGAACATCAGTCAACAGCCTAATATAAGCATGGAAGACTATAGATGAAATCTTGACTCTGGATCAACCAAGGAGAGTTTGCTACTGACTCCTATGAGGTATGAGGATTTTATCTGTTCATATAAATCAGCTCCAATATTTATAATTTGTTTTAAGTCTTCAATTCTCTCAAGGAGAATTAGCACCAAAATGCTATATCATGTCCTCCCTGCTGAATCCAGGACTGCTGGCAAAGAAACAAGCCCTACTCACTTGCTCCTATTCTCTGTATAACTTAGTCTTGCAATTAAGCATTGTGTGTGGCTTAGAGAGGTGTTGGGATGCCCTTTAGCTGGAACATACATTCAGGGCCCCTTTAAGCCATAACCACTGCTTAATTGTGGAAGATGCATGTAGAACATTAATGGATGGTGCTAGATCAGCAATTCTCATTTGGGATGTCATGATTCACATACTAAACCCAGAGATTTCAACTAGGAAACCATAGTATCAAAAAATATTCTGACCTATTGTGGTCTTTTTGAGTTTTTTTGCAACAGAATAATTACTCTGTTATTTTTCCATAGTCAAGAAATAAGTGAAAACCAAGAGCTGGCATTTTCTGAGGTGTACCTTGAGACTAACCAAGTTATGAACCACTAGGGGTTTGGCCCTGGCTCAGTTCAGGAAGGCAGTATATATGGTAAAGAGAAATTTAGTAAATAAATCAAATTGCATACTCTTAAGTGAGTTTACAGAGGCTTAGATGTTCAAACCAAATCACCACAAGAACGCACACATACAGAATTCTATTGTTCATTTAGCTTGTTGTTAAGGAGCCAGAGATCTTTGGTCTTGTTTAGTTCATGTAATGATATTCCTTTCTCCCTATTCCCTGCCTTTTCATCCCACAATTTATCTACTGGCTCATAGCTTTTCTCTATGGGAAATTATAGGTATAATTTGGAACTGAGTGCCCTTCTCTGAGTCAGGCTCATATTGCTTTCCAAGCTACATTGGGAAAAGGAACTCTTCAATTTCATCCACATGGGTATAACTCTATAACAATAGTACTCTAATTATACAGTATAATTCTTCCAATAAATTTCCCTGGGTACAGTAGCTCTCTGCTGTTCACTCCTGCATTTTGTTTTGCACCCCTTTGCTCTTCTTGCTTACCATAAAATCTGTCTCTGACCTCTGGCTTATCTCTGGTTTTTGCTTCTGCTCCTGTTGCCGTGCAGCTGAATGATTCTTGGCAGTCCTATGATGATGTGGCTATCACGCTGCCTGGTCACCTGGCTTTAACTACTACTATTTTTTTCCTCCCCCTATATCAAATGTTGTACCAGTTTTCTTTTCTCCTTCAGTTCTGATTCAACTGTAACTTCTCCATTTCTGTAAGCCTCTCTTTTGCCCATACACTAAGAATTAAGTTTATATCTGCCTTCTACCGCCAAACTGTCCACCAGCCCCACTTCATCTCCCTGGCTCTAGTCCTCCTTATTTTCCCCCTCTCATGCTTCATTTTTCACTATCTTCTGGCATGCTCCTTTCAAAATACAAGCATGCTTTGGTCTCTCCATCTTCTAAAAAAGCACCTTTGACTCCAACTAGTTCTCCAGCTGTCATTTCTTTTGCTTCCTTCCCTTTACTCTTTAATTCACTGAATACTGCCGTCAACAACTGCTTCACGTTTGTCTTCCTCAGCTCCATGGTGGATATTCTCAAGGCTGGTATTTGATGTCTCCATTTCACTGTGGTTTCATAGTCTTAATTTCTACATTCTTAAATTTTGACAGTGCCACTCTGCTAGGTATTTGGCACTGTGTATATATACAGGTAAATCATGTTCATATGACTGACTGCTAGGTAAGTGCTGCTATGAATAAGACAAACAGGAAAGTTTAGCAGCACTGTCCAGTGCTGGCAGGTTTAATGTGATCCTGTTGAGAAGAAATTTTAAAAGTGCAACTGTTCCTGATAAGAGCTGTACAAGCCTTAAGGAAATGCATATGAAACCAGGCAAACCTTATTGCAGGTGTTATTCCCAATCTAAATTTCAGCTTTAGTTTGCTGATAAACCCATGAATCTAGACAGATTGGGGGTCTCAGAAAGAAATGTGTCAAAAATAAGCTTTTGCTGTGTTTTGAGGTCATTCAAATTCCAGGTTCAAAATCCAGGGTCCTGATTCTGCAAATCTTGTCATGAAGAACTCCAAGTAATGTCTGACATCTTTCTTGCATATATAAAATAATAATCAGCACCACAATAAATGATGTCTTCTTTTCCATGTTCCATCTTTAGATCTCAAAGTGCTTTACAAAGAAGAGTCCGTATCACTATTTGTATTTACAAATAGGAAAATCAGGGAGATGAGAATTTACTCAAGGTCACATAATAGGTCACATAATAGGTCAATTGGAGGAACAAGCCATATGACTTCTAGACTGGTAGTCTATCTGCTCTGTTATGCTACCTCCTTCTTAAGTAATTAATTCTAATATTTATTATCTGTTTTGATTTGTTCTCCATAACATGGGATATTAGTAGTGTTAATGTGTGCTTCATGAAGTCAGCAGGAGATCTATTTTAGGAAGAACTACAGTGACTCATTAATGTTTGCCAGGTGTTCTGATAACAACAGTGAGGGATACTCTAGAAAATACCTTCAAATACATAAATAAATCTTGATTGATACATTAATCTCTTTCCCATCTCTTTTCTCTCTCCTCTCTCTCTCCTTCTCTCTAGCAGGAAAGATGATCGGGGGTGTCCAGGGGGATATATTGGTCTTATTGTATTTTAGTGTCATTTGTTCTAGAACTTTATAATTAATCAACATCAAAATCATTCAGTAACAGACAGATCATTCCCAAGAAATGAAGACTCACTTTCTGACTTCTGACTATTAACAGTATGTAAGCTTTTGACTGCATTAGAAAGACAATGCATTCTCATACAACAGGGGATAAACTGATTATCAACAAGGGTTAAGAATTTTTTTCTCTTCTACTATATACGTTATCGTGATTGATAGATAGGTTACTGAAAGTATTTACTTTATTGTAGAAGTGGTAGTGGCCATTTCTGGCATCACAGCAGTCCTCTGGAAATAAACTGACAGAATCAGGCAATAAGGAGATTCCCCATGATCACTTCTGACCCTAAATCAGTGTGCTAGCATTAAACTTTGAAACAGCAAAATTACATGTGAATATATTCTAGATTACTTGGTAATTGTATGTGAAATTCAAGATGATCTGTAGCCATATCATTATTTTCTATTATGCTAGATTAATTCATTGTTTTGAAATTATTAATTATTATTTTAAAATTTCCAGTAGTGCCTGTCATGTGTTACATATGTTTCAAACAGAAAAAAGATGCAGTTCCAGTCACAAATGGGCTACAATAAAAAGGCTAGATTTTTAACAGAGTTTATCACCCAGATGCACACAGGGTTCTTCAGGAGAGCTGCTGAGTGTTGAGCTGTTTTAACTATCTGGCCAAAGCACTTATGAACCTCAAATACCTTTTTCACTTAACTCTCGTTTCTAATTTCCCTAGAAATGATTAGGAGAGAGGTGCCCAACTGCTTTTGATGACTTGGCCATAAAGGCAGGACTGGGTAAAGATACAAATCTGTAGAGTTATTTCTCGCTGAGTGGTGCTGTAGAGTTCATACTATGGTCTTCAATGTTTATCCCTGAGACACTTTTTTGCACTTTTTTTCTAATTCTTTCTTTTCCCTCTTATAGAAAGAGATGAGAAGAGAACGAACAGCTCACAAGGAGAAGTAAGTTAGATACATTTTTAAAACACTATTATTTAACACCCATTTTGAAATATATTAATACTTACTTTGCTGGCATATACAGTTGTTTATAATGGTCCAACCTCTAGCTATCAGCTATGTACATGTTCCTATTCCTCTTTCAATTCTGGCCAACTTATTCCTTAGTCTCCATTAAGGTTGATGTAGCAAGAGCAAATTCTATTCAGTAGTAGTGGTGAGTATTAGGGGTGTGCAAAATGGGCCCTATTTTATTCGGATTTGGCCCAAATTGGGAACAGTGATTTGATTCGTTGATTTGGATCACTGTCCCTGATTTTATTTGGCTGAATCTGAATTTGAAGATTCAGTGCTGATTCGAGGAATCAGCGATTCAGACATAGACATAGCTTTACAAGTTTTTTCTACGTACCTTGAGGTAGCAGGGGTGGCTCATGATCGTTGAGATGCTGGGGCATGTGGAGCATCCCACAGAAATGCGGGGGGGCTGCATACTCAGCAATGAACCCAGAAGCGGACCGGAAGTACTTCTGATCCACTTCTGGGTACGCCATGGAGTGTGGCTCGGCGATTGGCCGCAGGGCTACCCTGGTGCCCTCCCAAACCCAGGAGGCACCAGCTGCCAACCCAGGAGGGGGTGGCGGGAGGGGGGGGGGTGGGAGCAGTGCACTCCCTGGCAAACCCAGAAGTGGATCAGAACTAATTCTGGTCCATTTCCGGGTCTGTTTTGCCGGGTGTGCTGAGGAGCCCCCCATTCTTCTGTGGGACACTCCAGGTGCCCCAGCACCTCAGCATTCATGAACCCCTGCTACCTAGAGGTATGTAGAAAAAACATTTAAAACTGGGTCTACAGCCGAATTGCTGAATCTATTTGGAGGGTTCCAATTTGATTTGGATAGATTAAAGGGTCGACTGATTTGATTCGGATTCAGACATTCAGCCACTGAATCGGGCCGAATCTCTGCTGAATCGAATCAGGGACTGAAGCTTCTCACAACCCTAGTGAGTATAGGGATAACAGGTTTGTTTTAGCCTTTGTGCCATTGCTACAAATGGTGCAGGGCCTAGGCCTGATGCCCATTAAAATCAAGGGTAATCTTATTAGTGTTATATTAAACCTTAACTATACAACCTTGTTCAAGGTTAGCTCCCTTTTTCATGTCTCTTCCCCCCAGCTTCACTTTCTCTTTCACTGGTGTTTTTGAGAAGCAGTCATTGCTTTAAATAGCAATAGGCGGTATTGATTGTTTCCAATTTGGGTCCAAATACAGACTTAGAAAGGCTTACTGGCATGAAGATCAATGTCTCATCACACAATGAGTATAAATAATTCTCTTTGAATACAACAGATCTTTTATTCATAAACAGCATATTCCATCCATTATGCTAAAATAACGTAATAGTCTTGTCCATGTTTATGAGAAAGTGTTTTGTTTCTGAAAATGAGCTTAAACTAATTTCTGATGAATGAGTAAACCTCTTAAAGAACTTATTATATACCATATTCACATACCCAGAGAAATGCAGTGAGTTCTTTATAGTAAATATTTAAGAAAAGATTAATTTCCATTATATTATTATGATTAAATATGAAGCTAACTAGAGAAAAGAGTAGATCTCTTAAGTCTGGTTTATGTGTAGATTTTATACCGATATATTTGTTAGGGTTCATATTTTATCCAAATACTTATATCTTAAATTACTTCTAATATGATGCATTACAGCTTACTATCCTTCTTATTTGGAAAAAAGCTATGAAGTAAACATCTTGATATGCATGCAATTACATTCATTTTAGGGGAGTTGTACTGTTTTACTTACAGGGTTATCATTATATTATAATATACTGTGAACTAGATCGGTAGACCATGTGTAAAAACAGCTTTAGGGTTGTACTAATCTTAATAATGTCAATGCAACTCTTTTAAATAAAATCCATTTTAGGGCATGTGTAACAGAGCACAGAGTGCTCTGTTACTGCCAGGGGTGTGGGCTGCACCCAGGCAGCCTGCAGCTGGCTGTTATCCCAATTAGGCAATGATGCCTGCTTGGGGAATAGAGGCCAGCTGTTATATATAAAGGCTGGGCCCTAAACAGCAGGGGCAGCAGTCTGCTGCTAGGAGCCAGCGAGACACCACTGGCTGAGCTGCTCTCATTACAACTCAGAGGTTAGGGAGGAGCTATTGGGGATGTCTGGAGGCTCCTGGCCCAGGGTATGACCAGAAACTGCACCCTGCCAGGGAAGGGTGGCCTGGTGGGACTGTCTGTGGCAGGACAGCCCCCCAGAAATGCCGGGCCAGTTATCTCCGCAGTGAAAGGTGGGTAGGGGCACCTGATAACCCCAGCCCCCACATCCCTGGTGGGTAGTTAGATCAATGCAGGGGGAGCCCAGGCTGACTGCGAGTACTGAGGTAGGGACCAGGTCAGGAAAAGGGACCTGAGGCAGCGCCCAGACTCACAGTGGAGTCTAAGGTCTCACTAGGGAGCCAAATTTTAAGCTCCAGGGGGGTGGGGCCCTGAGTTTTGGGGAGCTGGAAGAAGCTCCCAGGCAAGGGGATAAAGGGTAATAGCTCAGAGAGACAGCAAGTAGGATGGGGCTTGAAGCCCTAGTCCCATAGTGAGGGGCTTTTAGGCCCAGGTAAGAGGCTTATAGGCCCATAAAGGGGCTTAGATCCCAAGGGCAGGGCTTGGAGCCCAAGGATGGGGCTTGGAGTTCAGAGAGAGGCTTGGAGGCTGGAGACAGGGCTTGGAGCCTGAGGACAGGGCTTGGAGCCTGGGGATGGGGCTTGAAGGCCCAGAGAGGGACTTGGAGCCCAGGGACGGGGCTTGGAACCCAGTAGGTATATTAGGAATATGATAAGACCAGGTGTTAGGCCATGAAACATCTGTGAGGCATGGGACATGATAAGGGAGGGTCGGAGTCATGTGCATAGGCCCTTATCATCATGGCAGGTAAAGGGCAGCCTCCTGTCTGATTAACATTAGACAATCAAGAACATCAAGGAGTGGTAGGAGAGATGGGCTGGTGGTTTGCCCAGAACAAGTGGGTGGGCCTACATTGAGACTGGCCCTGAGACGTCCACTTGTTACAGCATGTCATTTAGATGTTTATAGTTATTATTTTGGGAGTGAATGAATCATTGGAAAGTGTGTGTGTGGGAGGGCATCTCTCTAGTCTGTGAAGAATGTCAGTGGCCACAGACAGCCGTTCATTTTTACCAGCAGGACTTTCTCAAAGCTCTCTAGCCAGGGGGTGCTAGAGGGCTGCTCCATGGGTCAACCCCACCCTAAGAGAGCCCATTACTTGACAGCCTGTCCACTCCCCTGCCTGGGGGCTGTCAATAGGCACCGGAGCTTTAAATTACCATGTGTGTAGCCTAGATGGGATGTGTGGATATGCGGGGCTGTGGACAGCCTCCCAGCCACCAGTTTCCAAATTCATGGCTTTTAAATTGCAATATTGGTTGCATTTAAGGGCTATGGGCTGGGAAACTGCAGCGGGGAGAGCTTTCCCAGCCCTGGCTTTCAGCCACCCCACCTTCAAAATTGCCACCCATGTCACTCAAGTGAGCCCACTACCATGAACCCCCACCTTCCCAGCACTGCCCACGCTGGGAGTCTGGTTTGGGGAGCAGGTGGCAAGCAAGGTTCATCTGCTCCCCTTTTCTGCTCCCAGTTGCCAGACTGGGAAATAGGTCGGGGACTTTGCCCTAATGCTCCAGTTACCTCCTGGACCAGAGCAGGAAAGGAGCATTACAGGAATTCACTCTTGAGAGAGAGTTTCTTTCAGAGGGGATATTTTCTAGGTTAACACCTGGAAGACCTTTTTCCAGAGAGAGCATGTTTCCCCAGGGAGAAATTGCATGAATGCTTGTATACTTATAGTTTCTACTGGGTGAACAGTGATTCTCCTAGTAGAAACATCATGCCCATATAGTTTCCTTTGAATGCAGTGTATCTTTTATTCATAAATGATATCTGTACATGGGCCGTATTCTTTAGGGATTCAGAATTCCAAAATGCAGTCTCAAGGCTCTTTTTCTGTAGGACTATCAATTTTTGCATTACCTTTCCTTGAATATGGATTAAAATAAACCTTGCATTTTGTAAATCTGTGTAAAAGGATATCAATTTTACATGGAATATTAGTTGTACAGTCTATTTTATTCTGGTGTTCAAAAACACTCTTTACAGTGAAAAGTTTTATTAATAATGTTGGGCCTATTTTACCCAGGAACTAAAATCCCATTTTCCTTAGAGGTATTTTTTAAATATATAATCATGACACTTCATATATGTAGTCACACTCATATATAGAGTGCCTTACAATTTATACAATAATATTTCTTCATGAATTTTTTCTGTGACTGCTGAGTGAATATGAGGTGTAAAAATGTATTATTTATGGATATCAACCTCTGTTTTGAAACCTGGATTTTTATGTGCATGTACTTTTATGGAGTTGATTAAGGAATGATCCTACTATGGAATCTGACTAATCTCAGGTAAAATATTCCATTGGAGAGGATTGTGTTCTGTTCTCTGATGTTAAACTGATATTTCCATTTAACAGGGCTCCAAGTAACATAAGACAACTAGTACTACCTTATTCAAGGGGACATTCTACAAGAAATCTCTCTGCTATACATGTAAAGCATCTCAAGGTTATCCATATCATAAGAATAATTGTCCATATTCTTAATCACTGAGTGAAGTTGAACTAATAGGAACTCAGATGGAAAAAAAAGTTATGTAAGCAATATCAGGGCAGGCTGGAAAAAAGGGGATGTAGAAAGACTGTGTAACTGAAGAAATGCTAGCAGAAAGGATTTTTTGGTTGGGAAATTGTCCGACATGGTTTGACTGACATTGCTACTGAAACCTCTTTTTATTTTTAGTCGCAGACTGCCTCCCCTAAGCAGAGGAAGCAGAGTGTGTTTACTCCTCCTGCCATCAAAGGTACTGTTCAGGTACTGTTTCTTGCTACGTTAATGCATGTTTTTTTTGACTGCTGGCTTTGCATCACCTCTTAGGACTAAAAACCAAGGACTAGATAAACAGTGAGCACACTTGCCCATGGATTAATTGACTAAGCAGTGCTGGATGTTTAGTTCTCCTCAATCTACATCTTATAAATTAAATTAATTTCCCTCTACATTTCCTTCTGAGAAAAGTATCTTAGCAACATTGGTAGAAAACAGCCCCTTCTCAAATTCCAAGTGCGTTTATTAGCCTATGATAATATATACTTAAATCCTAACCCTGTGGACCTGTATCTGTGCAACAAAGTTCATTGCTTTGAACAGAACTGCCTGCATAAGAAAGTGTTTGCAAAATCAGCTCTATACAGCTTACTTCTTACTTAAAGCATTCCCTTGTGTTCTGCCTTGCTTTCTGGGCAAATGCTCAAAGGAGTTATGGTCAAAGCTACATATTGAAAGTCTGATCTTTGAGGTCTGGAGCACTTAAAATGAAGTCAGGAGGAAACAAGAACTTCTAGCAGCTCCCTAAAGGGGCTTGGTGCTTTTCAACAGTTATACCCAAATACAAGCAACAAGAGCAGAAGCAATGATTGGGACTTTTGGTTTTAGCTGAATTTCTACAATGGTGCTTAGCTGAGTTTGTCTTGGCCACATTTGTAGCTAAGTGTGTTCAGCACTGATTCACTAAAACCTTTAGTCAACATTCTGGCAGTGGTGGGTCATTTTATGGCACAGGCAAAGGTCCGTTCCAGTAAGAAAATTGTTTCCTGTCAGATGCTATGGATCCTGAATTCTTCTCTCTCCCAGTAAGCATAATGTATCATATGGCAAACAAATAGAATTACAAAGAGTTAGCATTATTTCCAGTAAAGCTACTTTGTAGTTGGGAACTACCTTGCCAATTTACTCTACAATGCAGGTACAAACACCTGGTTCTATAACATAAATTCTCCAATCCTGCTCTTAGTAGCAGTTAAAATTATATCAGCCAAGTGCACAGGAGAATTTCCTATTTATCACACTGTGGTAAAATTTCTTCACTGGATATTAGAAATCTAGTGCTCTAGCCAGATAAATTGATATACAAAAGGCAGAGGAGACAATAATGTGTATTACTTTTACTAAAATATTGTCTTGCTCTACACTAACTATAATTTAAATGCTTTACAAACTAAATGCTGCATGCATGCATTATATTATTTCACAATGACTGTAACCTACCATTGTCCCACAAGCTTTATGGTTATGTTCAGGTAATGTTTGGGAATTAGATGGCGTTGCTTACCTGTTCTTCAGACTCAGTAGAGGAATAACTAATGTCTACTGAGTGGCACTGGCATGGGACAGATGCTCTGCTTAGGAACTGAGTGATTTCCTTTGAGATACAAGAAAATAGAGCTGGGCTGATGTAGCTTGTGAACAAAACAAAACAAAATACCAAATACCCCAAAGCATTTTAAACACTACCCACTGCTGTACTCTTGGCTACATCACTGTGAACCTTGCAACTCATTGAGTGAATTGGCTTAAGGACTACAGATACACAATGGTGTCTTTGAGAACAAAATGCTGATTTAAAAAGTCCTACCATATCTTCTTTTCCTTTATAAGACAACATACTCATTACTTGGTGTAGACAAATGGACTAACAAGTAAATAATGTAATAAGAAATGTACAACTCTGAAGTGCAGAATTCTTTAAAGCGCTAGAGATAATTTAAATCATTCTATTCTTGTGGTAGGTGTTGAAAAGTCTTTTTTTAGCAACATGATGGTATTAAGAAGACACATAATTATAAATTATTTCCCAAACCTTTTTCACATGCTAGTTTTCAATGTGCTCAGAATATTTATCGCATTCTGCAACAGAGAACAAGATTTTGAAGGTGTAGAAATCCACTAACGGCTTCTCAACAAAGACTGTTCTATGTTTTCTGTTACTGTTGTAAATGAATAATCTTGGGATATGGGACAAGAATACATCCTGTTTCTTTACATTACAAGATGAGGGTAATAAATCTCTATTTCTATCTCCAAGCCTGAAAGCAGAATAGTAATAGAATGTACTAGTAAACACTACCATTTCCTATATTGCATTGGCTTTTAAAACTGACTTGTCAGTGCAATCCAAGTGTACAGTCATAAGTCAAATACATGAGTGCAGAACCTGGTAGCACAGTGCAGCAGTAGGCATGGAGACCTATTTGAAAGACATATTATAATGAAGAGTAGGATTTATCTTGGGTCTTCAGTAGAAGGGGTATGGGAACAGCAAGAAGATTTATGTTTAACTCTGACTCCAGCTTTTAGACTAGCTTTTGGACTACTTGTTTTTTGTTTGTTTGTTTGAAATATAAGCCTGTTGGTGTATTCCTAGCAGGTCCCTTGAAAAAATGATTGAATTCTGAATGAGAAGGAAAGAGAGAATACTGGTTTATGAAATGTAATGGAGTGAGCATCTGGAACTACACCAGAAGAAAGAAAATAAGAGTAAATTAAAATGTACTTTACCAAATTAAAACCAATTGCTACCTTAGCATGTTAAAAGCCTGGCAAGAAAAAGCTACATCAGACAGCAGTAACATGTGATCAATTAGCAATTTAGCACCATGGTTGAAATATATGTTGGAAACTGTAGGAACCCACTAAATCCACACACAAGCATGGATAAATTGGGGTCATCGTGGCTCATGGTAAATACTAGGTAACTTCAAGAGAAGTTGCTGCACTGCGTAACTTTTCTAGCATGACATGGATTTAGGGCATGTTCATTTGGTGATTTTACCCTACTAAATAGGGTCTGTACATTGTACCACAATGGTTTGTGAATTGTGACATACTAGTTTGCATGAAGATTCAGTCTCATGTTATGGCACAAACTGATGGGTTCATTATCTGTGTGTACTTTAGCTTCTACCAATATTTTCCTAAATGAAAGGTTATCAGAGTCCCCAGGGCAACAGAAAAAAAGCTGACACACCTTAGATTTTTTTTTTTTTTTTTACTGGAATGCACTGGACTAGAAAAATCAATCTGAGTGCTATTGATTTAAGAGAATATCTGTGAAGCAAATGAGACAGCAGACCAGATAACAGTTCAGAATAGTAGCCCTCTTAGTATTACATTACCATGCTTAATAGACATCAAGAAGCATTTTCCATTTTGTTTTTGAAAATATTTTCCCTTCCCAGCCCTTTCCCAGTGGTCCCTGATTCCCCGCATATGTAGTATGTTTGTAACAAATTCAGAATCTGAAGATTATACTCCTCCTACATGAAATTGTTGCTACTTTGGATGTCCTCAAGCATGACATTGTTTTATTGTATGGCCTGTCACATGGGTTTTTTTTTGGTAAATCCACTGCTTCATCATCCTAACTGATAATAGTAAGAATAATAAACAATATGCTGGAAAAAATATTTTGCCTAAGGACAAAACCACTCAAGCATCCTAGGCTTAATTCTTGGTTTACATAAATCCAGAAAACTCCATTGACTTCAATGTGTTTTTGTTTGTTTGTTTGTTTGCCAATGGAGGATATCACCATATGCATGAAGCATGAATGAATTCATTCAGCTGTACTTACTTACACACCTACCTATCTCCCCTTGTCAGACACACCACCCATACTCACTCACTAGTCATACTCAACCCTAGTCACCTTCCTCTCTTAACTCTTCCTGTTTACCACCCCATGTCCTGAAAAGAACATGCACACAAGTCATATTACCTTCACATCCAGAGATCTATTTTCACCTTCTATGAAGAGTGTGGCACTTCTGTGAATAGGTGAGCTATATGTCTGAGTCAGTGGTCACATCTACATGAGACATTACTGTGAAGTAAACTAATTAGTTCCACAGCAAATGTCATGAATCTACGTGTGCCCCTATTGGGCTGGAGTAAACTAATTAACTCAGCAGCAGGATAGCATTTGTATTTACAAATACTATCCTGCTGTGGATTTTTTTACTCCACAGCAACACACATATAGGCACTGCTCTGGCTAGCTGGGGCATGAGAGTGCTTTAGTACATGGGCTGCCTGCTGGCTAGCCCCACACTGGAGCACCCTCATGACCCAGCCACCCCCTCTACAGCATACTGAACTTTGGGAGGGGAGGGAAACAGCTGACTTCTGGGACACCCTGCCAGCTGAGGCTGCTCCACCCTGGCTCAATGTGCTCTGGTCCCAGATGCATGTTCAAACGGTGCTCCCGGGAGCAATAAACTCAAGAACAATAAGTACCAGAGTTTATTTCTTCACATTAATTGCACATGTAGATGTGCCCAGTACATTCATACTCACCAGCTATTTCTGTTTAAGTCTTGCCCTCCACATATGTGAACTCAACCTGATCCCTACAGAACTTTACAGTGTAGCAAAGCCAGGCTGGATCATGGGTCCAGAATAGTCAGGTATCAAAGAGAGTGCAATGGTATCATCCTTTGAAAGGAAACAATGATTAAAATAAAAAGATTTATGAAGTCAAAATAAAGGCAGAGTCTATGTTCATAAGCCTACACAGTTCCCCAGGGCTCACCAATCTCCACATTATTTACATACTTCTATTAACACCAACAACTGCTAAAACAACAGAAAGAGCTCCCAAAAGTCAATTTTACAGACCTTTGATGGGTCATCAAAGCTATGGTTCTGCTGAATAGGTATGCAGGAACGGGCAGAGAACAGGAACCCTTCACTCAGCTCAGGACACCAGTCCAGGGAACTGGTACAAACAAGGCCTGACCCAACAATGTTAGAAGTGAATGCAGAGATTCCCATTGACTTCTGTGGGCTTTGGATCAATTTAATCATGTTACTTTTAGTGCTCATTAAGCCTTTAACAAGCCATGATTTAACTTCAAAAAGCCATGATTTAACTCGTTCCCCACAAAATTGAAAAGTGACTTTCAGTCCAGTATTTCATCTCAAGTTATACATCCGCTCACATTTTATTCCTCTTTGACATTATAGAGCATTGCTCA